GAGCACAAGCGAAGCTAAAAGCGTTCTTAAATGGATTGCATTTTAAGAGTGGTTAATCGTTTTGCGTGTTGACAGGACCTGAGTTCGCCTCTGACCAAGCAGATCACTCTACATTCTCCCTTCGTGTCATCTCCCATGGACACCGTCACAGAGTCAGACATGGCAATTGCTATGGCTGTGAGTAGAGTCAAAGCGTCAAGTCTATTTGATTCCACCCTGATAGACTCCCTTCTTTTTTCCGTTCTTTTTCCAGGGTTGAAGTTAGTCAGAATACTGGATTCAGGTTCGCTTGAAGTTTTAACTAAAAGGCAGTGGTTTGTTTTTGAACCCGAATGGGAGTGGATGTTTAATGTTGCATCAATTACATTGTGATTAGATAGTAATTCTGGACCTCACATTCTGTCATTTATTAGCAAAAAAAAACCTTTTCTAAATGTTTTATAGCTGACTGGCGGCGTGGGCATCATTCATCACAACTGCACCGCAGAATTCCAAGCCAATGAGATCCGAAAAGTCAAGGTAGAAATTGAGAGCAGTACTAGTGTTTTGGTAGGGAAAGGAATTAGACAATGAGGAGGTAATATAGCGATGAATTACAATGCTCAGCCTTTAGAAATTAAGGAAATCGGTTTCCAGAACTCAAATGATCACGTTAAATTACTAAGCAAATATGCTGAAAGAAGATTCTAAACCTTGTCAAACAGGATAAATTTAGTTATTATGCCGGAAAACTAATTAGTCTTAGCAAAGTGCAACATGGCAGGTATTCTCATCATAAAATATCAAATAATTGGTGGTATTTTACAATGTTACACCTTTGCTAATACTAATTAGTTTTCCTGCATATTAACTAAATTCTGTCCTGTTCGACTAGGTGAAGTATCTTCTTTCGGCATATTTGACTTAAGTTAAGTTAATTTGATCATTTGAGTCCTGGAATTCACATTCTGGAATTTTCCGGATTGAAAAAAAAATTTAATTCAAAAAGTAATTTCCTCAAATTTCCTGCAAGGTAAAATCTTGGTAATTTTAAATTTATGTCACAATTTCACTTAGGTGGCTCTTATTTTCAGAAGTTCGAGCAGGGTTTCATCACAGACCGATTGTGTTCAACCCACAGCAGACAGTGGGCGATGTGTTGGAGATCAGAAACAAACACGGCTTCTCTGGCATCCCCATCACTGACTCTGGCAAGATAGGGGGCAGGCTAATGGGTATTGTGACTGCCAGGGATATCGACTTCCTCAGAGGCAGGGAGAACCACAAAATACCCGTCTCTGATGTTAGTTATTTGGTCACTTTTGAAGTTCAGTTAGGCGGATGTACCATCAAGAATTTCAGTTCCTTGGCGAGAGAGTAGAAGGCGGGGGGGGGGGGGGGGGGGGGGGGGGGGCGGAGGGGGCAGAGGAAGAGAGAGTTCAGTCGGGTAGTGATAAATAGTAAAAACAACTGATAAATGTAAAAAAAAATTTGGAATTAGTTGTGAAAGGTGTTTTGGCTTATTGTTTCGAACCATTTGAAAAATGGGGTGGAACTTGTTTTTTTTTTTATTTACACTAAAGTGACCCTGAACAAAAACTACTGCACCACAATGGGCATAACGCTTTTAAATCAATTGTATTCGGGTGTTTTTTTTCACGCAAATTCGGTTGCCACAAATAATCATCCGAGAGAATTGAGTGATATAATCATTTTAAAGCCCTTACACAGGGTGGCCACGGTATCAGTGCAGTCAGTGCCAAATCAGTGCGAAACGTGAACAGTCAGTGCCAGCTAATGAATATCAGTGCCACCAGTTTTTTTCATTGCGCTTCTTTACTGAATCGTTCAAAATCAAAAATGTAAGCAGCTTACATAGTATAATTTTTTTTCAGATAGTATGAGCTGATCTGAGAAGAAGAATTGTTTGCGTAAAAAACGTGGGGCCAATGAGTTGGGCCAATAAAAAAAAACATTTTGGTCAAAAAACCAAAAAAGGCTATCTTTTCAAAAAAAATGTCAGTGTCTGGCATTTATTTTTCTTCAACCTGCGCCTTCTCAGACACTGTGTGCACCCTGTTATTGTCGTAATCCAAACCACTTTTAAAAAATTTCTCAGTGTTGAGAAAAACCAGTGTGAAATTTATGGTTTTTCGTCTAAATTCGGGCGAATGAAGCAAGCGAGCAGGCTTAAAATAGTTTATTTTAATGGCTTTAAAGCTCACATCAGCTGAATTTATAATATAAAAACTTAGTTTTTTTCGAGTAATTTTAGTTTTTTTGAGTATTTAGTATTTTGTACAAAAACAAAATTTGAAATTTGTTTTTTGATTTTGTTTTCCTACTTTGTTTTTTGATTTTGTTTTTCTGTCACTTTTCTACCTAAATTGTTTTTCAATTTGCTTATTTTACGATGACTGTCGAATATCTCTAGCTTTGCGTTCTGCTCCTTTTATCACACCACGCCGAAAAAGACGACACTAATTTGAAAAAAAGCTTGTTTGTTGTTTTTTTTTGGTTGTGTTATGGTCGGAACATTTTGTGCTACTTTTACAGTAATCGGCTGTCCTAGTAAGCAAAATGTGTCGGTCCGAAAAAATGTGAGATCTTATTTTACCAATCTAAATTTTACGACACATCCAGTTGGTGTAAGGGAAATATTTAGGACTAGAATAAACCTCAGGTCGGATGAATTAAAATTAAATTAAATTTAACATTTCTTCGGCAAGAATAGGTTCATTCATGAACTTAATTTAATGCTTAAACGTGAGGTAAGCACCGAAGCGGTCTTCCTAAAACTCATTTAATGAGAGACTGTCCTTTAAAAATTTACATTTTGATACGAAGTATGATTCAGAAAGAAGTACACCAGAAAAAGCAATTGTTATTCCCACATCTGCAAGGAACGAACCTGATGAGTTTTTAAAACTAATTCGAATAGAATAAACGACTCTTTAATCTGATTGAGTTTGACTGTTGAAGTTATGCTATGGTCTATTCAGGAATGGACTATAAATGACTTAATTTGGTCGATAGTTCTTTTTTGATTGCAGGTGATGACACCTCGAGAGGATTTGGTCACTGGAAATTGCGACATTAATTTAAACGATGCTAATGTGCTATTGCAGAAGAGCAAGAAAGGTAAAGATGAAACTACACAACTATTACTGTCCCGAGTAGTCATCGGACAATAATACTGGCGTGTATCCTGGGGCGGATTTAGGGGGCGTCCCCGCCCCTTAGGGATTCGACCCCCTGCTTACCCTAAGGGTCCCTCTTTGAACTATTTTGAGATACCTATTTCTGGCTGATGGACCCTAAATTTTTCGAAAGGCGCCTTTGGCGCCAAAATATTCTAATTTTGAGGGGGGAGCGCGCGCCAAAAAAAAGCGATTTTCATTCATCGAATTTCACAAAAAATCAAAGGTGGGACTGGAAAAGACACAATTTTAGCCAAAACAGGGTCTTTTTATTGCTATGGAAGAGCTCGGAAAATCAATTTGGTCGACCCACAAAAAGGTCGAAAATCAGCACCCATCGAGAAAATCCTGGATCCGCCCCTGCATGTATCTATTAAACAGTCTCTTTTAAATCAAAACTTTCGGCTGGTGAAACAAAACAGCGTGCTGACTTGATGAAAAAGTTACTTTTTAATCACCAATAGTTGGTTTGTTTTAGGAAAATTGCCGATCATAAATGCGAATGATGAGTTAGTGGCTCTTATTGCGCGTACTGATTTGAAGAAGAACCGTGAGTTTCCACAGGCCTCCAAAGATCACCAGAAACAATTATTATGCGGGGCTGCTATTGGATCCAGAGAAGACGATAGGGCCAGGTTGGAGATGCTACTTCAGGCTGGATGTGACGTCATTGTCATTGTAATTTTATTTGAAATATTTCATTCAAAATTTAGACAATTTAATGCACGTATATGGTTCGAACATTATTATGGAAGCAACTGCAAAACAACCCTAGAAGCAGCCAATTACGTTTTTGCCTTTGTATCTTGAATTGTTCTAGAAATTGAGAAAGCTTCAAGGGTATCTGCTTTTTTGAAATTCAAAAGTTGAGGTTTTTTTCACAAAACATTTTAGTATTTTTTAAGAGTAATAAACGTATTGAAGACTCTTATATACGTCTTGCTGGTTTTTTTGTTTTAATTTTTTTCAGGAAAAAGTCTTAAAATATTGATGCACTTAGGTATAATACACTTTTTGAGTTCAATTGAAATTCATCTGCTGAAAGTGACGTAAATAGCACTCTCCAAAAACGAACGTGGAAATGGCGAGTCGAAAAAACGTGAAACATTTCGAGTTTCGAAAGTGGAATTTAATCATCAGATTTCCTAGCGAAATAAAAGTTCAACCTTTTGATCCAGTTTTCTCAATTTGGGTTAATGTTATCAAAAAACGCCAATCATAAATTGTTCCAGAAAATCGAAGAGCTTAAAGGGCATCTATTTTTTTCTTTGAAATTTGAAAGTTGAGATTTTTTCAACAAAGTCAGTGTTTTCTTATGTTTACTTGCGTTCATTACTCTTTTCCAATCTTCGATAGGCTATATTCTTTTCTTGCGTTCATTGAATTTTTGCAACTGTCTGTTGGCTATGTATAGATTAGCCAGGTAAGGAGCGTAGTGTATAAGTATTTTTCTACTTTTTTGAAACCTATCACGCAAATAAAAATTTTCAATTGATGGAACGTTTACTATATAATCACTTCTGTAGCATTGGAAAATTCTTAGCATCTGTTCTCATATTTCTTTGTGGCGTGTGTTTGCTGATCTGTAAGCGTCCGTGGCTGAGAGGGAGGGGTGAGACTGCAAATCTCGAGGTTGCATTTTGGAATCCAATAGATAGCCAACGTTTTACTAATTCAAGGCTTTTAGATGAAGACGTTGGTATTAGTTTTTGGTTTTTCTGTTTTGGCTTTGTGCATTGGTGTTTGTGCTAGCTGTTGATTTTTTAAAATTTTTTCTCACTCTGGTTTAGACGACAGTGTAGTGACTTATACACGGTAACATGGATAGATTGTAATCAGCCAATTTATTTCAATGCATCATTCGGCTATACTGATTCAAAGGTTTCAGGTTGAGATTTTCTCGATGGTTCATTTATACCCAGTTTCTATAACAATGAAATTCAAAAATATATGCAGCCACCCAGTGTTATTATCCTTTTCAGTATTAAAATTTGTGCCGCTTGATGTTTTCGCATCGTTCTTTCATTTGCTGTCTGGGTTACTAGTTTGAGCCAGACGATTTTTTAGTGGTGTTTCCGATGTAGCAAGGATAAATGATTACAATTTCTTCCGACCTTGAACATATTGAAGCCTTGGATCTATCCCAGGGGCTGAAAAATTGTTAGTTTTTTTTTAGTTCCAAGTTAAATTTTTTAAAGAGTAATGAGCCTTGTGAAGTTTTTCAATAGGTCTTTTGATTTTTTGAGCCTAGTGAAGACTTCTATATAGGTCTTTTAATTTTTTAGGAAAAATTCTCAAAATGCTAATAGCTAAAGATGTGCATTCAAACGTATTAATGCATTCAGGCTGCTTAAACTGGTCAATTTTTGGTCACTTATTTTTTCTAGGTCACTTTTTGTTGAAACTGTTGTGTATATCAAGGGAATCCTAACAATTTTCGAGAGTTTTTCCAGATAAGATCATGGGACTAAAAATGATATAGGATTTTCTCGTGGGGGGGGCGGATTTTCAAAAAAATCGAAAATTTTGACGACCTTTTTTTTAGGGAGGATCTAGGATTTTCTCGAGAGGGGGGCGGATTTTAAAAAAAAATCTCGAAAATTTTTACGACCTTTCTTAAAGCAGAGACTCTAAAAATGGTAGGTCACTTTTTTCTCTGACCGATTTGAGCAGCTTGAATGCATTCATGAATGCACTTAGGTATGTATGCACTTTATGAGTGCAATTGAAATTCATCTCTTGAAAGGTACGTAAGCAGCACTCTTCAAATACGAACTTGGAAATCGCTTCATAAAACGTGAACAATTGCTACTTTCTAAAATGGAATTTACTTTTTAAAAGATTTTCAGCGGAATAAAACTTAACTATTTATCCAGTTTTCTCAAATTGGATCAATTTTATTTAAAAAAAAGCGCCAATCGTATATTAAATTAAAAGAGCTCAAAGGTCATTTTTTTTCTCTGAACTTCGAAAATTGAGATGTTTTAACAAAATCAGTCTTTTTTTGTTTACTTGGGTTCATTACTCTTTTCCAGCTGCCAGTTGGCTATCTTTTCAATTTGCTTATTTTCCTCCTGCCTTAGAGTCAATGAAGCAATATTCCATTGAAATAACTTTTTTTGATAAGTTGTTTTTGCTCCTTGATTTTTAGTTGGACTTTCCCGATAGTTTGTGCAACGCTTTGCAAGCTTATTTCTCAATTGATCAATCATCAAAAACTTTGATTATATGTTGTGCCATTCAGTTGTCATGAGTTGCTGTTAATAGTTTTTTTAAAGCTCTTGTTTTCGTGTCCTGTTTTGGTTGCATTGCTTTTCAATTAATTTGAGTCCGAGTGATCCTTTTTCATTCCTGTTTTGATTTGATTGCTGTCAAATAAATTCGAGCCCGACGGCAATTAGGTAATGATTCAGCGTAGCTTTGATTAATTATTAAAGTTTCTTCTGATTTTGATTATATGGAGTTTTTGGCTCTGTTTCTATGGCTGCAAATTGTCTAGATACTTGCGCACAAAAGCTATTGAAACTTGAGTGCTTTTTAATCTTATAACATTCGTTTAACAATGCATTTCTAAGTAAAGTTCCAGATCTGGCTTTTGGGTCTGATGAAACCCCAATTGGACGACAGATAGGTGATGATCCAGTGTAGCACTGATTAATGTTTCTTTTTTCTTCTGAATTTGTTTTGTGGAAGTTTTGGCTCTGATTCAATGACTGCAAATTGTCTTGATCTTTGCGCGCTAATTCAATTGAAGCTTGAAAGCTTTGAAAAGGCTTAAGAATAGTTAGCACATCATTGATTTTTTTTTGTTTCTGGCTTGTTTTTTTTTGCTCCTTTTTGTACTTTTTCTGGCTTTTGATTTTTTTTGGTTTGCTTCTCTAGTTTTTGTTTCAAACTGATGAAGCCCCATGGTTGGTTTCTATTCATTGATAATACATGTTTTTCTTTCCTTCTCTAAAAGTTTTCGTTTGTTACCGCGTTATCCCTTGTTTTGCTTCAAATGGCTGGCAATTTGCTTACTTGCACAATGTAGCAATGATGAATGAATGTAAATATTATTGCTTGGGTTCGCCTAATTTTAATGGCTTTATATATTTGTGTGTCACTGTTATTATTTGACGAAGAATCAAGCTGCTAAATTCAAATCATCTCTATTAAAAAATTATAGTTCATAGTATCGTTGAATTCTTGAAAGCTTTTAGCTAAATTATCATTTAATTATAATCAGTTGTTATAAGTTTTTTTGGTCTTTTTTTTCTCGGTTCTTGTTTTTAATAGCTTCCGTTCATAGCGTAGCACTGATTTTTTTTATTTTGATTATATGGAAGCTTTGGTTAGGTTCCAATGGCTACAAAGTTTTGTGCCCAAAAGCAATTGAAGCTTGAAAGCTTTTAAATCACGTAACTTTTGTTAGCGATGCCGTGCTTCTAAGAATTCTAGGTCTGGTTGTCGTTTTTTTTATTCGGGTCTGATGAAACCTCAATTGTGTTAAAATTCATTAAGTACACTTTTAAACACTTTGTTTTATCAAATTTTTTTTATTTCGCTTCAGCGTTATCTCTGATCCTGCTTCAGATAAAAATTTGCTGATTGGCACAATATAGCAAGGTTGAATAGAAGCAAAGTTTTGTACTTTGGCTGTTGTGTTTCCTTATTCTTATGGCTTCTTTTTTCTGTGTGTTTTTCCTGCCTTTTTCGGTTAAGCTCAAAATTTGATTAACTTTTTTTCATTACGTAGCGTATTTGAGTGCGTGAAGTTTTGTTTTAAGTGGTGCCTTCAAGTTTTTATCAGTTTTTTTCTCAGTTTTTATATTCGTTTATGTTTTGCATTAAGAGTGCAGTGGTCTGAGAAAAATACCCAAAATTAGTTTTGTTAGTCAAAGATGCAATAGTCTTTCAATTATTATTCAAATCAGATGGGTTCTCTGCGGATCAATCAATCTGAAACTCTGGATGTTGTTCAGAGTTCAGCTATCTGGGTGACATGATTTTCTGTGAAAGTGATGCAACAAGCATCATCAGTCAGAATGGCAGCTTTCTGGACCAAAAGGCGGAACATTGCGCCCCTGCTGTTGTATAGAGATTTACTTGATTACCAGGTGTTATATCTAAGGAGCTTGTCGCCTGCCAGGTGTGATGTACCGCTCCGAAGTCTGGGCACAGACCGAGGTGACATCCAATTTTCTGAGTGCTGATATAAAAGCTCTGTATAAAATTTAAGAAGTTGCTTATTAAAACAGAGTTACCGCCGAGCCAGTAAATAAATTGACAGATCTTTTTGATCTGGACAAGCTTCAAGCGCAGGAACGACTGCGTTGGTTTGGTTTTGTTGACCGAAGAGAAAATGACCATGAACCAGCGAAAAGGCCGGCAGGAAGACCTAAAAACGCTGGATTGACTGTTTTAAACGAGACCTGAATACTTAAAGCTTCAAACCCATAAACTCTCCTGATCCGATGGCATGGAAAAACGTGTAACCTTCCTTTAACTAGCTCGACTGCTATTCAGAATGCCCTCATCTGAATGCTGAAGTTTGTAAGCTATCCAGATGTACATGTGCTCACACACTTTCCGACTGTACAACACCGCCACAATGGGGAAATGGGCATTAAACGCATAATTACTTAGTAGTTTTGGCATTTCTTTTGATTTGCTTGCTTTTAAATTATTTTAAGTCC